AGAAAATAATTTTTCAGCGAGTCGTAACGATCGCTGGTGTAGACTTCAGTTACATGGCGATCTATTGAAATAACTCTTCGGAGATTAAAGTGATAGCTGCAGTGATAAATATACCAGAAAGCACTGCGTCATCGTTTGATCCAGGTCCTCTTGGGCATTTTCATGTTCTGGTTATAGCGATCGTGGCAATCATATGGAAAACTGGTGATCGAGCAGGTGTTGTAAGGATCACTCAACTTGTTCTGTAGCGATTGAAGCGATTATATATATGTCTGAATTTATGAAAACCGTGTCAAATTTGGGGCAAAACTTTCGCGCCTGCCTGCCGGCCATAGCCGGCAGGGAGGCCTTTGCGGCGCTTGAAAATCCAGGGAAGCTTCCGTCAAGGAGGGTGTGGGAAGATAGCCCTAGGACCTGGCTACCCCCTGATACCAAGCGGGGCTGCCAGGAGCTAACCCGAGGGGGGTGGGGTGGGTCACAGAGAGAGGCACTTTCCTCAGTTAAAACTGCTCATTTTCTTTGCAGGACAGCCTTGGCCGGCAATGCCCTGCAGTCTTAGGGGCTGGCAGCCAGNTGATAAATATACCAGAAAGCACTGCGTCATCGTTTGATCCAGGTCCTCTTGGGCATTTTCATGTTCTGGTTATAGCAATCGTGGCGATCATATGGAAAACTGGTGATCGAGCAGGTGTAGTAATGATCACTCAACTTGTTCTGTAGCGATTGAAGCGATTATATATGGAAACCAGTCTTTAGTCAGTGAATTTGTATAAATTTATATTGTGTTATAATTAATTGAATTTGTGTTGAATCTGATTGGTTCCTTCTTTACAAATACAAGTGACTCTCTAACGCAGCATGTGTGTTCATTAAAACCTGTGTCCAATTACAAATGTGAGTTCAATTAGATTTTCACCGGCCAGCCCAAAAACGGACGATAATCCACCACTGACGTTCATGTTCAGTTACATTTATGATTGCAAATAACCCGACAGAGTATAAAATGGGGGAGACAAGGGGGGAGGACGGGGATTGTATTCAAGAGGTGGGAGAGTTTTTCG